TATATATATATATATATATATATATATATATATATATATATATATATATATATATATATATATATATATATATATATATATATATATATATATATATATATATATATATATATATATATATATATATATATATATATATATATATATATATATATATATATATATATATATATATATATATATATATATATATATATATATATATATATATATATATATATATATATATATACGGGTCGGTTCTGGGTCGGTTTCAATAAGACCCGTAACCCGACCTAGAACCATCCGGTTCTAGAAACTTAAACCCATTATCCGACTCAGAACCATTTAGCTGACCCAGACCCGCCCCAAACGGATCGGTTCTGGGTCCAAGACCCACCAAACCCGTACCCATTGCCATCCCTAAGCATCCCTCATTTGAGGAAATTATGTAAGGTAGATTTCCATTCAAATAATAATTTGAGAAAACACCTTTATGTTATGTTGTAGTTAATTTTTAATGTCAATACTATTCTTAATGAGATTAATTGACTTCACATCCTCTAACCCTAATTTCTCAAATTTGTTGCGCTTGTTCTCTCCTTTCTCCCGTTTTTCTTGTTCTGTTCTTCTCTCTTTTCCATGGCGGCGGCAGAAGAGGAGGGCGCTAGTGGTGGTTTCGACCACCTTTCTCTTGATGGTTGTATTTCTGGATCTCCGACAGATGGACTCTTGGGGGACTGCAGAAGAGGAAGAGCCGGTGATGGTGCTGATTTTTAAGGCCTTCCTTGTCGAGCGTGGTTTTGGTTTTCAAACCAGTGGTCCGTGATGGCGGCAGAAGGGAGGCGCTAGTGGTGCTGGTTTGTAAGGCCTTTCTTTTCGAGCATAGTTTTGGGTTTCCGACTGTGGGACCGTAGCGGCCGCAGAAGGGAGGAGCTAGTGGTGGTTTTGGCCCTCTTTCTCTTGGGTGGTCGTCCAAAGAAGAAAAGGTATAATACATTATTGAATAAAATACGTGCGGAATGGTGACGGTGGTGGGGATGGTGATCGGGTAGTGTGGCGACGGTGTGGTGATGATGGGGAGCAGATCTAGAGTTTTTTGGGAAGATCAGGTGGAGGATGGCGTGGGCGGTAAAAATTCACGCATGCTGACCCATAATCGATTACGTTCAGTAATCGATTAAGGTTTAATCAACTATGTCCGATAGTCAATTAAGGTTTAATTAACTATGTTCAGTAGTCGATTAATGGTAATTGCAATATTTTTTAAATCATTTTTGGATTTTTGGTTATTGATTCCATATTTTGCCACTATAGTCGGACTTGGGGCATAGTGGTAGTATGTTTTTGTTCGTCATTGTCAATCCATCATCCGATTTGTATAAATCAATACATTTTATGTATATTTGTTGTTTTTTTTAAATAGTTGATTTTCATTTTTTTAGTTATTTGTTTCGGTTGGTTATTGTTTGGATTCTTTTTTTTTGAATCGTGTTGGATTTAATTGACGACATTACGGTTGTTTTTTAACTTTTAGTAGTCAATTACATTATTCAACGACGACTTTAGCAGTCAGTTCGCTAATCAACTATGCCCTTAGTAGATTAATATCGTAGTCGATTAATATATCTGACAGAGAAAAAAGAAAATGTTACAAAATTTAAAAAAAAATTAAAATCAAAAAATTAAAAATTAAAAATTAAAATTTATTTTAAAAGAATAAAAGGAAAAATGAAAATAAGGATGGGTGGAGTGGGAAGAAGATAGTGGAAGGACGATTTTGGGATTATTAAGGAAGGAAAATAAGCATGGGTAATATCAAAGAGTAAAATATGGGTTGGAGACCTCTTT